AGGGGATTAGAGCCAGGAAGCGCTTCTCCCAGAGAACATGGGGACTTGGGCTCTGACAAAGCTGGGGGGCGAGAGTCCATAGCTCTCTGTTGCAGCCCCTGGAGTCCTTCCATGAAGGCCTCCCAGGTGATCGAGTCTGGCTTAGGTTGCCCCCTGCTGTGAGGGGTCTTACTCGTCATTGACTTCCGACCAAGCTTTGGGGGCAGGGAGAGGAACTGAGGCAGCATTTGCTACCAGAGACAAGCTTTGTCTCCTGTGGCTGGCATTCCAAAGGTCGTCTCTCACCCTTAGCCACAAGGGGTAGAGATACAGTTCTTAAAACTAGGCAGAGTGGTCTACAATAATTTTTAGAAATAGGGGAATGGAGGGAGAAGGAGAGGGAGAGAAATATCGATGTGTGAGAGAAACATCAATGAGCTGCCTCTCACACACCCCTAATCAGAGACCTGGCCCACAACCCAGGTCCCAGGCATGTACCTTGACTGGGAATTGAACCAGTGACCTTTTAGTTCACAGGCGGACACTCAATTCACTGAGCCACACCAGCCATGTACACTTAAAGTAATTGTTGATAGATATGTATTTAATGCCATTTTATTATTCATTTTTTATTAATTTTTTTCCTTTTTAAAGAAGACCCTTTATTTCTTTTAATACTGGTTTGGTTGTGTTAAGCTTCTTTAGCTTTTTCTTGTCTGGGAAGCTCTTTATCCGTCCTTTGATTCTAAATGATAGCTTTGCTGTGTAGAGTAATCTTGGTTGTAGGTCCTTGCTTTCCATCACTGAATACTTCTTGCAAGTCCCTTCTGACCTGAAAAGTTTCTGTTGAGAAATCAGCTGACAGTCTTATGGAAAGCTCCCTTGTAGGTAACTAATTGCTTTTCTCTTGGTGCTTTTAAGAATCTCTCTTTGTCTTTAACCTTGTGAATTTTCACTATGATGTGTCTTGGTGTGTGTCTCTTTGGGTTCATCTTGTTTGGGACTCTCTTCCTGAACTTGTATTGACTATTGCTTTCACCGGGTTAGGGAAATGTTTTTGTCAGTATTTTTGCAGTATATTTTCAATTCCTTGTGCTTTCTCTCCTCCTTCCAGCACTCCCGTGATGCAAAGGTTGATATACTTGAAGTTGTCCCAAAGGCTCCTTACTGTATCCTCATTTTTTGTATTCCTTTTTTTTTTTTGCTATTCTGACTGGATGTTTTGCTTCCTTATATTCCAAATTGCTGATATTATTCTATGCTTCGTCTATTCTACTGTTGATTCCCTGTGACTTACTCTTTATTTCAGTTACTGTAACCTTCATTTCTGACTTGTGCTTTTTTAAGGTTTTGTCCTTTTTTATGCTGTTGAAGTTCTCACTAAGTTCCTTGAACATTCCATAGCCATTGTTTCGAACTCTCTATCTGATAGTTTGCTTGCTTCTATTTCATGTAGTTTTTTCTGAAGATTTCTACTCTTCTCTCATTGGGCCATGTTTCTTTGTCTCCTTATTTTGGCTGCTTTCCTGTGTTTGTTTTTATGTATTAGGTAAAGCTGCTATGTCTCCTGGACTTGTAGAGTGGCTTTATGTAGTAGGTGTCCTGTAGGGTCCAGTGGTGCAGCCTTCCTGGTCACTGGAGCTGGGTGCTCCAGTTGCACCTCCTGTGTGGGCTTTGTGCACCCTCCTGTAGTAGTTGAGCCTTGATTGCTGTTGGCACGTCACTCGAAGGATTGACCTCTAGGTTAATCAGATCTGAGGACTAGCTATGACTACAGCAGAGTGGTTGCTGTGCAGGGGCTGACCTCATGGAGTAGGACTGCTTCAGTGGGGCTTTGGTGCTTACTGACTTCCTCTCTTGAGTGTGTTGCTCATGGAGGTGGTTGGGTTGTGATCTGGAGTAGTCTGAAGGTAACCACTGGGTGCATAGTCTCTGGGCCCTCCTGGGAGGTACAAAGTCAGCCTCTGCCTGTGCATTGCCTGGGGCCACCCGGCACAGGTTAGAGTGATCTACAGATAGCTGCTACTTGTGCTAGGCTTCAAGCTGCTAGGCCAAGCTGTGAACGAAGGCCAGCTGTTACTAGAGCTAGGCCTGGGGTCACTTAAGAAGAGATATGGGGTATGCAGGGTCCAGATGCTGTTTATTTGAGAGTTTTTGGGAAAGTCTGAGGCATGAACCAAGAAAGGTTGATTGTATGAAAAAGCCACTGGAAGTAGTTTGGGTGGGCTGGCAAGTTCGGTGGGACAGGGTCTCAGGGAATCACAAGGGTAGTTAACAGTGTGAGCCAGGTTGATGGAACCTCAAATACGGTGTCCTGTGGGGAAGGGCTCAGAGTAGGAACAATGGCCTCTGTTAGCACTTCTATCTGGGAGAAAGCTGTTCTGCTAGCCTTCACCCTAAAGCCTTCACGCTGAAGCTAGCCAGTTCCATTCCTTCCCTTGTGTCCCTGATGTTTTCAAGCTGCTGCCCCAACGTGAGCTCAGAGTGAATGAGTCTTACGTCTGTGCAGGGACCCTTTAAGAGGCATGTCCAGGATTCTAGAAGCCCTTCATGTCACTCAGCCACATCTGGTTTTTATAGCCAGAAGTTATGGGGACTTATCTTCCTGGCAATGGAGCACTGGGCTGAGGGTCCAGATATGGGGCTGGGAACCCTCCCTCCTTAGGGATCCACAGCCAAGATATTCCTCCCATGGGTGTGGAACCAGCCTGTTCTGTGTTTCTGCCCATCCTACCAGACTACCAGTATCCATGTGTTTCCTTAGTTGTAGAACTTGTGTTCAGTGTGACTTCAGGCATTTTGAATAGGTAGTGTCTTTTGATGCATAAAAGTTCTTAATTTTGGTGAAGTATAATTTATCATGTTATTGTTGTTGCTTATGCTTTAAGTGTCATGTATGTAAGAATCCATTGCCAAATCCAAGTTCATGAGGATTCACCCTTGTTTTCTTCTAGAATTTTTATAGTTTTAGCTTACATTTATATCCTTGATCTATTTTGAGTTAATTTTTGTGTGTAGTGTGAGTAGGGGTCTAATTTTGTTCTTTTGTATGTATATAGTTATCACAGCACCATTAATTCCTTCGTGGGTGGTCTTGGTGCCCTTGTCAAAAGTCCTTATGTTAGTACCTTTCTTTCACACCCTACTTCCAGAGGTCTCTGGTGCCTTTAACCTTTGGTAATTGTGTATATTGGATTGGTCTGCTTTTTTCACTGTCAAGCTTAGGATTCAATTTTCTCTGGTCTACTCCTATTAATAACATTTTTTAGACAGTCTGTTATCACAGTTTTTAATATTCTTTGACCCAGGAGCTCTTTTTTTCAGTTGTGTTCTCATGTGTGTGCTTTTGTTTATTTAAATTACTTTCTAATTTTAACTGCATCACAGTGAAAATACCCAATCATCACCTTGTCCAGAAGCCTCTCCTCATTTTCCCCACTCCCCAGACAGCTGACTGACTCCTGCCCTTCAGTGCTTCAGCTGTAGCTTCTGCTAAACTCTGGACTAGAATGCTGTGTGGGGATGATCTCTTTTCTCCTTTATCTGTCTCACCACACTGAATTCTCTGCAGCTGGGACTATATTTTACTTCATTTTTCTCTACCTAGCAGTTCAGTGTAATTCCTAGTACATAGCAAGAGCCCAATTAATGTATGTGTAAAGGTCCTATAATTGGTTCAGTGCATATGAGGCTCCTACTTTCCCCAGTTTACAAATGAGGGAGAAGACTTAAGGGGTTGCACAGCTGGTGATAACTGGGCAGGCCTGCACTTTGAATGCAAGGCTAATCTCTCTGCAGGTGCTGGGTCTCCCCTATCTCTTTAGGAATCCTGAACACTTTTAGCAGAACAGGTCTTCCCAGCTTTAACCTGCTGAGAACCTGGGAAATGAGTCCATTTGCTGTCTCAGATTCAGGCTTCTGAATTATTTTTTTTCCTCACACCAAAGTTTTAAATGGTTAGGAATTGAAACCTGCTGTTCTTTTGTGATTTCTTCGTGGTGTTCAAGTTTGAAAAGTTTTCTTCCCACTAATAGCTTGATGAAAACTCAGTGTTTCCCTAGTTCTAGTTTCTGTGTTCTTTTATTAAAATGCTAATTTATCTGGAATTTATTTTGGAATGAATTGTGTATTCATCATTTTAAATGCTGATGTACTTCAGTGGGTTCAGTAAGTCTCATATCGCTGGATATTTAGGTTATTGCCAGATTTCTGCTATGACTACTTTTGTATAGACACTTTATTCTCCTGCTGCTGCTGTTATAATTATATTTTGACTGGTGATGGTGGTGGGTAGTAGAGGGCTTCATTTTTCTCTTCTCCAGTAGGAGTATCATTTCCTTAGGCTGTACTTTCAAAGGATTAAGGAAATTAACAATCATTTAATCAAGCATTTATTGAGTTCCTGCTGAGTATAGGGTGTGTTGCTCCATGCTGCATTTCTCAGTGCCTCTGATTGACAGATAGCTCTGCTTTGGGGCAGTTCTGAAGACCTTGTTTTCAGTGGCTGTTGGATACATATTTTGTTTACTTTAATGTAGGTTGGGGTAGTTTAGGTGATTGTATTAAAGTTCTGTAATGACTGCAAATCTAGGTAAATGTAGTTTATTATAAGTCTGGCTCTTAAATCAGAGAGAAGAAATGACATTGGAATATTGAAGATCATTCCACTTGTGTTAGCCTTTATTTTTAATTTTTTAAACAATTTACTTGGTTACTGGTTATATGACCGCGCTGTGTTGTGGTGAATCATCTCTGCAGACTTGCCCTTCTAACACTGCATCTAATATTCACCGAAGAGTTTTAATTTTCAGTTTTTAAGACAGGTAAGGCTAGTTTAAATAATGGATGCTAAAGAAATTATCTGAGTGGCTAGATGAGTTGTCTCAAAATAGATCATTTATTCTTTTTTTCAATTGGGATTTAAATTGTATGATGACAACTTAATTATTGGGTAAATTTGTGATAAATGACTCAAAAGACTTTTACAGAGATAAAGTAAGTTGGTTTTAATTCTATTTCAGGAATCCACTTAAACAACAATCTAAACCACGTAAAATTTGGCTTGGATCATCATAGACTGTCTTCTCCTACACAAGCAGCAGCAAAGCAAGGGCAAGTGGACTTGCCCATGACAAGAGCAGTGACGGACAAGATTGTTCTGTTAGTGTGTAACCGAGCCTGCACAGGGCAACAAGGGAAAAGGTGAAACCAACTTATTTTCCAGTAACTGCTGAGGCTTTAAAAAGTCTTAATATTTTCAAGTATTTTTTATAAGAGGAATAAAAACACTCTTTCACTTAGTATATAGTTAATTTTTGATTTTGATATTTGGAAAGAATATGTGTATAAGTTGACCTGATGATTGGAGAGGTTGGGAGGGGGAGAATATAAAGTTAGGATGAATCCGAGTGAGAAAGGCTCTTCAACCCCATGTAGTTTTCTTTCTTTTTTTTTACTGTTGACATTTTTATAGGTGTCCCTATTTTCCCCCTCCTGTTTGCCTACCTCCATCCAGCCTCTGCCCCTCCACTCCTTCCCTCTGGCCATCACTACACTGTTGTCTGTGTCTGTGGTGGGTTATGTGTATATGATCTTTGGCTAATCCCTTCACCTTGTTCCATTCAGTTCTTCACCCCATCTCCTCTGGTAGCTGTCAGTCTGTTCCATGTTTCCATGCCTCTATTTCTATTTTGTTCAGTCATTTATTTTGTTCCTTAGATTCCACATATAAATGAGGTTATATGGTATTTGTCTTTCTCTGATTGGCTTATTTCACTTAGCATAATAACCTACAGATCCATCCATGCTGTTACAAAAGGTAAGATTTTCTTCTTTTTTAAGGCTGTGTATTCCATTTTGTAATTGTATAATACCATATCTTTTTTATTCACTCATCTGCTGATGGGCACTTAGACTGTTTCCAGATATTGCCCTTCTAGCCTATGTAGTTTTTTAAAGGCTCCTTTCATATCTATATTTTCAGCTCAAGCTCCTTTTGGGGCCTCAGACTTACACACCAAATTCAGCTTTCTTAATACCTTTTAAAAAAATTCTTAACAAATCTACTTAGATGGTATGTACACCTCAATGTTATGTTCCAAACTGAGCTCATTCTTTCTCTCTGTACACATGATCTTCCTGCATTTCCTGTCTCAGCAGTGGTATACTCTTAATTCAGAAGCATAAGCCAGGAAGTTGGGGGTTGGAAATCTCAGATTTTTTCCATCTATAATAACTTGTGGGTGTTTTAGACAGCCTTTTAAATTAGCCTTATCATATTAGTAATGTAACCTAAGTAATAACAAGTAAGATGTGAATCTACTTTAGGGGAAAAGGACTTTGTGTTCTAATATTTGTTAGGGTAGCATTTATAGTAGCCTTTTAAAATGTTGCTTTGATAGGTTCCTTTTTAAAAGATGGTAAATAACATACATGCAAAATGTATTGATTTGTATATTTATGTATTCATTAACAAATGCTTGAGTGTTTACAGTATGTTGGGCATTGCTGTAAACACTAGGGCTATGGCAGCAAACAGACAGGATCTGCGGTTCTCATGGAACTTATGTCCTAATTAGGACAGAGTGGCTATAAACAAGTAACACATTTAACTTCAGTTACTCCACTTTGAAGATTTTAAAACTGGCTGGGATGATAGAGTGTGCTGGGGCTGGAGGACGCTACATGAAACTGCTTTGGTGAGGGAGGGCTTTCTTGAGGCAGCAGCTGAGCCTGAGTGAGGCGAGGGGGTGAGCTGTGTGAGCTTCTGGGGAACAGAATCCCATAAAGAGGGGACACTGAGTACAAAGACACTGAGCCTAGAGGGAGCTGGGCATGTTTAAGGGAGAGAACAGAAGGGATGTTAGTCTCTTAGAAGTGAAGACATAGTTTACATGTGCTTGGAACTTACTTGACATCACTGTTGAGTGCCACTGTGAGTAAACTATTTTTTTTTAATTGGACTGAGGTTTCTTGGTGATTTTAGTACCTCTCCTTGGGCTTAAGTCAGGGTTTATCTGATTCCTCATTCATTCATTCCTCATTCATTCCTCACCAACACATACCATTTTCTAGGCATTGCTGCTTGGGCTACTAAGATATGTAGATCACAGTTTCTGCTCTCAGTAACTCACAGTGCACTGATGGAGGCAGAAGAATAATCAGGCAGTGTTAGTGCTGTGGTGCAGAGCACAGGGAACAAACCAGCAGGGTGCTTTCTGCATAATGATAGCTCCACTGGGTTGTGACACGGGTGAGTAGGTCCTAGCCTAGCAGGATGCTGGGAAGACTGCTCCAGTCTGAAGGAATTGGCTGAACAAAGACCTGGGTGTGTGAGTAGGACACATCCAGGGCACACAGCAAGTAAGTAGGTCTAAATGGCTAGGGTTTGGGGGAGTGAGGCCATGCCAGTTGTTCTTGGCTGCATTTTAGAACCATCTAGGGAGCTTCTAAAGAAATCGCACTATTCAAGCTACCCAGCAGAATGACTACAACAGGATCTCAGGGGGCTACACTTGGGCATCCTTGTTTAATACTCCCTTGGTGATGTCAGCCTGCAGCCATACTGAGAACCATGGCGCTGCCTTCAGTTCTCCAACACTGTCAGGAAGGGCCATGTGGCTTCTTCCTGAGGCTAGGAGATAACTTTCAGTGTCACTTGCTTGCCAATGCCTTCCTTCTTGTCAGATTATCAGAATATGGCCACCTGCCTGCTGGACCTTCTAGTCCTGTCTGCTCCTCTGGCATTAACCCCTTGTATGTTTGACCTGTGCTGTTTGCTGCCCTCTTCTTTCCTTACCATCTTCACTGACCCTGTCCTCTTGCTGCCTAATATCCTAGCATCATGCTCCCCCAGAAGCCATTTTGGTGTATGAGCTGTTAAATTTCATTTAGATATCTCAGCTTCTCTTCTGACTTTTTCATCCACTGATAAGAGTAACTATTAAATTTCCCGTTTGTTTTATTTTGAGAACAGTCCTGAAACCAATTATATAGTGATTCCATGTAGGAATGTCGTGTATAAGGAACTGCATTGTTAAAGGAATGCTGTAATTTAAGGTGACTGAGGTGTGTTTATGTGTATGTTAGGTTTGGGCTGCCGTTTGTGCTGCACTTGGAGAAGACAGTAGCCTGGGACCTGTTGCAAAAGGAGATCTTGGAGAAGATGAAGTATTTCCTGAAGCCCACAGTGTGCATTCAAGTGTGTATACATTCTGATGCTCCAGCCCAGCATGCGTGTGTACCCAGTAAAGAAATACCCCTTGCGGGGAAGTTTGAAGTCAGACCTCTGCATTAGGGAAGGTGGACACTGAGCTGGAGTGTTCAGAAGCCCTGGGGCAAAAGAATCAGCTGTGTTCATATTTTTAAGACTGAGGACTTAAACCTCAACTTATGAAGCAAGCCGAACACTGCAAGGTTTCCCTTTCCAAGATTTTTCTAATAACATTTAGCACATGATCAGCTTGGAGAGACTTTGCAGAACATCTCTCTGTATATTTTCAAAATTGGGATTACAGTGTTAAAGTGTCCAAGGGAAACTTAAATTAATGCTCCAGTAAAGCCAAATATTACCTGTCTTGTATAACATATTTGATGTATAAATTGCATTTGGGTAAATCACATTTACAGTGTATGAGAGTGGCTCAGTAACCTAACAGAACATTATGGAGGAGCATCTTGCAGAACAGTTTGCTCTCTCTTTAACCTGTTTTGGAAACCAGTGTGAAACAGATGCTCTTGAAGAGAAATCTAGCCTAATTCTCCTTCCCATTCGATGCAGGTGTGTCCATTCAGTTTGCGTGTGGTCAGTGTGGTGGGAATCACATACTTGCTGCCCCAGGAGGAGCAGCCACTGTGCCACCCAACAGTAGAAAGGTAAAAAAAATAATCACCTTCTAGAACTTCACATGTGCTCATGTGCTGTAGTGATGTGTAGTAAAATTTCCACACAGGTGTGGTGAGTTCTTTAGACTCATTTAGAAATTAAGTACTTATTTTACTTTTGATTCATATTAGGGTATGATATGTTATAGGATCCTTTTTGAAATCAGAAAAACCTAGAGTACCCATGTTATGAAGCAAATACTATATATAGTAGGGCTGCAGATTAATGACACTTGCATATTCACCAAGATGTATGTTTCCCAAAGTAAAATTCTAAGCCTACCACTTTCTTCTTTGAAATCCTTGCATGGTAACCTGTGTTATAAAAGACAAAGCCCCTGTTCCACAGTGCATGACATGTTTTAATTTGGACCCTGAGTACTTCCCTCTGTTAGGCCTCACTCTTCTCCCCACCACCTTAAGCCTTCAGCAGTGTCAAAGTACTGAGGAGTGTTTGGATGCATTATTTCATGTGTCTTTGCTTATGTTGATACTATCTTTCCTCTAAACCTTTATGTATTTATTTATTTTAAAAAAGATTTTATTTATTTATTTATTTATAGAGGGGAAGGAGAGAGGGAAAGAAACATCAATGAATGGTTGCCTTTCGTGCATCCCCTGCTGGAAACTGGCCTGCAGGGGAGCAGTCTGCAAACTAGACGATTGTAGTTCGATTCCCAGTCAGGGCACATGCCTGGGTTGCAGGCCAGTTCCCAGCAGGGGACGCACAAGAGGCAACCATACATTGATATTTCTCTCCCTCTCTCCTTCCCTTCCCCTATAAAGATAAATAGATAAAATCTTAAAAAAAAAAAGAATCTGAGAGTGACTGTGGACAATCTTATAACACGGTTCTAAATTTCTTCCATTCTCTTTATTTCTGTACTGGACATTTTAATTTAAGGAAAATTTTCCAGTCCAATTTTAATCTGCTTATTAAATATGAGGTTATTATAATGGTGTCTAGAAACTTTCTGATGGGGACGGATGATGAAGATTTTCAGAAATTATATGATTTCAGATTAGATGATCATATTTAAGTAAAATCCTTTATTTAGAAAATAATATGTGACTTCCCTCCCTTACCCCCTTCCCTGTCCCATAGGGCATTAAAGTCTTGTGGACCAGGTGGCACTGCTCATGTGAAATTAGTGGTAGAATGGGACAAGGAGACAAAAGATTTGTGAGTATTTTTTACTTAGTGTTTATAGAGTCATTGGTCTAAAAGTATAACTGATCATTTAAATTAGTTGATACCCAAATCTCTCTTCTCTTTAGCTTTAAGTGTCCAGATGTGTTGCTAATCCTTTATTTAAGTAGTTTATTATTTCTTTTCTATACATTCTGTCATTTGCTGCTAAGATACAAGCTATATATGTATTCATATATATTCATACATATATTCATTGTAGGTCCAATTATTTTGATTTGTATTACAGTTGCATTAATTCTAGTAAGTTATGCAAAATACATGCCCTTAGTTACAAAGGGCAAGGATATATGAATTAGCATGTGGTCAGTCCCAGAAATATCTTTAAAGTTATTTCTTTAAAATAACTTTATAGAGAATTTTTCAAGAATTTTCCGTGTTCCATGTTTAGAACATGGAAACTTGCTTCCTTACACATTGACCTTCTTGATTATGAATTTATATCTACACTCTAAAGCTGTAATTGTATTTTGTGTCTGTTCTCTAAGATATTCTCTGATAAATGCTTTCTCTTCCCAATGATAGTTTGTTTGTAAATACTGAAGATGAATATATCCCTGATGCAGAAAGTGTCCGTCTGCAAAGGGAGCATCATCATCAACCTCAAACTTGCACTTTATCCCAGTGTTTCCAACTCTACACCAAAGAGGAGCGGGTAACAGCTGGGAGCATTTCTTGGGTGGTGTGGTGGTAGGGTTGGAGTCATGACAAGGGGAAAGGGGAGAAAGAAATTATGTCCCAGAAAACTCCCCAGGAGTTGTGCTTTTATGTAGGGTCTGTACACATAATGGGTATCTTAGGTTTTTTTCGGGGGGTTGGATTTCACAAAAAATTGTTTAAAGTTTTAGAAAAACTTGGTTAATTGAAATGCTCTAGGAGTGAACCTTTGTAGTTAATTTTTTTCCTTTCAGTGGTTAATGATAAGATTTTTTTGTTTCAATGTACAAATTTTAAATCATTTTCCTTAGTAAGTAGAACAGTGATTCTCAACTTTTTGGTATTAAGAATATAGGTGCCAGGACCTATTTAAATTAATTATAATGAAATAAAACTAGAAGTTCAGTTTCTTAGTTGCATTAGCCATATTTCAAGTGCTCAGTAGGCACATGTTTCTCTCATACTGGGCAGTGTAGCCATAGACAGAAAGTTCTACTGGGCAGTGCACTTTGGAGCACTTAGCACAGTGCTTTGCAGATAGTAGGGACTCAGTAAATATTTCTATGTAAGGATGAACAGAGACTTCCGCCAAGATGGAGGCATAGGTGGAGACGCCATGCTTTCTCCCACAACCAAGTTGAGAGACAACAAAATATTAGCAACAGAAAACGCAGCCAGAACACAGAAAATTTAACTTTTCGGAAGTCTGATAACAACAAATTCTTCAGCCTGACAGATAAGAGGGGCGAAGCCAGCAGCTGGCGGAGCGGGGTTACACAGGAAAACTCAGTCAGATGGACTCAGGTGCGCGGATCCCAGGCATGGGGTTCCAATGGGCCGACCCAGTGAGCGCCTAGTGAGCGACCCAGTGAGTGACTGGCGTACCCAGCGAGGGTGCAGGGCGGCGGGTTGACTGTGGTCCTGCATTTGTGCACAGATAGACCAACAAGAGAGTGGGCGGTGAGATGACCAGACCGAGCAGGCCCCAGCAGCAAGAGGCAGCAGAGGGGGCCGCCATTTCCTTGCTCTGACCCTGCCCCCACATACAGCCTCACAACCCACCAACCTTGGCAGCCCCGCCCTGGTAAACACCTAAGACTCCGCTCCTCATAATTAACGGGCCTGAACAGACCAAAAATGGCTCAAGAAGATCTCAAAGCCCCAGAGCCCATAAATCTAAGTGACGAAGAAATAGCAAAACTTTCAGATGCACAGTTCAAAACACTGGTGATCAGGATGCTCACAGAACTGGTTGATTTTAGTCACAAATTAGAGGAACATATGAAGGCTAAACTAATTGAAATTAAGGGAATTGCACAGGAAACCAGTGGTGATGAAGAGGAAACTGGGACTCAAATCAAGGGAGTGAACCAGAAGAAAGAAAATAATGGCCAAACAGGAAAATAGGAAGAAATAAGAATTCAAAAAAATGAGAAGAGACTTAGGAACCTCCAGGACATCTTTAAATGCTCCAACATCCAAATTATAGGGGTACCAGAAGGGGGAAAGGAACAGCCACCAGTGGAAAACTTATTTGAACAAATAATAAAGGAGAATTTTCCCCACCTGGCAAAGGAAATAGATTTCCAGGAAATCCAGGAAGCTCAGAGAGAGTCCCAAAGAAGTTGGACCCAAGAAGGAACACACCAAGGCACATCATAATTATATTAGCCAAGATTAAAATGAAGGAGAGAATACTAGAAGCAGCAAGAGCTAAGGGGACGTCACCTACAAAGGAGTTCCTATCAGACTGTCAGCTGATTTCTCAAAAGAGACCCTACGGACAAGAAGGGGCTGGAAAGAAGTATTCCAAGTCATGAAATCCAAAGACCTACAACCAAGATTACTCTATCCAGCAAAACTTTCACTTAGAATGGAAGGGCAGATAAAGTGCTTCTCAGATAAGATCAAATTCAAGGAGTTCATCATTACCAAGCCCTTAATATATGAAATGTTAAAGGGACTTATCTAAGAAAAAGAAGATAAAAAAGATGAACAGTGAAAGGACAGCAAACTCACAGTTATTAACAACCACACCTAAAACGAAAGCAAACTAAAAGGACAGCTAGATCAGGAGTGGAAACATAGAAATGAAAATCTCAAGGAGGTTTAGCAACAGGGGAGTGGGAGGCGGAGAAGGGTGTAGAAGGTAGAGAAAATAAGTAGCATAGATGGTAGGTAGAAAATAGATAGGGGGAGGGCAAGAATAGTATGGGAAATATAGAATCTAAAGAACTTGAGACACGTGGTCATAAACTAAAGGGGAGGAATGGTGGGGGAGGGGGTGTGCAGGGTGGAGGGGAATGAAGGGGGAAATAGAACAACTGTAATGGCATAATTAATAAAATATATTTAAAAAAAAGGGTGGACAGACAGATGGATAAACAAGTCTCTGTGCCGTGGCTCAGGCCTGTGTATTTTTTAAGCCTCTCAAGGTTTATGCACCTTGAGAAACCTTGACTAGAATACTTGGAGTTTGTCTGGAGTTGATGTTTAGGATCAGAATTTTGACTACTGATTGTTACTGTTCACTCTAAGTACATAGGGAATTACACAATTTCAGGGTCAGAGAGGACCTTAAAGATCCTTTTTTCTAATGGTTGGGTTCTACTTAATTTCAAATAGGTGATTGTTCAGCCACTGCTACAAGGCATTTGCTTACTTAGGAGACTCATCATTTCCTCTTCGGATATCTCTGATGGAGGCTGAAGTCAATGTGACATACATCCTTAGGTTACAACAACCTACCAGGCGTTCTCTCTCTTGAGTTCATTAAGAACAGTTGAGGACAAATAATTTGTCCTTTAAATATTTGAAATGTTTTTCTTCTTCTCACTGAGTCTTTTCTCCCTCCAAGTTCATAGCTAGTTCTTTTAATAATTTTCATAGGACATATTTTTTCAGTCTGTGGCTTATATAAAGTAGTAGGCTTTGAAACTTGTTGATTGCTTGCTCTGTACAGCACCTTATCCTATTGAGTTCTGTTTTTGTTTCGAGTTGATTTGGGAGATGTTTGAGAATGACACAAAGCTTAGAGGTGAGCAGACCTACTAGATGAGAACACTGGTATTCTATAGAATATCTCACTGATTTAGAGGGATGAGTTCAAGCTAGCAAGATACATTTTAATAGAGCCCTGGGTGGTGTGGCTCAGTGGATTGAATGGTAGCCTGCCAACCAAAGGGTCGTTGGTTCGATTCTCAGTCGGGGTACGTGCCTGTTATAGGCCAGGTCCCTGGTAGGGGGCACTCAAGAGGCAACCACACAGTAATGTTTCTCTTTCTCTCTTTCTTCTTCCCCTTCCCTCTCTAAAAAGAAAATTTTTTTAAAAGATACATTTTAATAGGGATTCATTTATTCAGTAAATATTTACTGAGTGTATGCTGTGTGCTGGGTACTGCACTACATCCTGTGGATTTGGCAGGGACCAAGGCAGATGATGTTTCTGCCCTCAGCCTCTTTACAGTCTACTGGGGATAAGCAAAGACATAAAGGAAGGTCACGGGGTAGGAAGGAACGTAGCATGGTTGAAAAACAGAAATGAAGATAGTTTGACTGGAGCACAGTTGGTAAAGGAAAGAGAGAAGAGACTGTGTTGGTCTTTGAATAATTTTAAGTATCTCCCATGGTGCCTGGCACATAGAAAGTTTTCAGTAAGTATATACTGGAATGAATGAATGAATGAATGAATTAGTGAGTGAGTGTTACCTGGAGAGTTCAGTCATTAGGCCCAAAAACAACAGTACAAATACTGGAGAGGAGAAGGTACGATTTCGCTGGCAGAGTAGGCTGTGTGACAGTAACTTTGGGGTTGGTTGTCTGCAAGTTTAGTTATTGATCAGTAGTGTTGTGTGGGCATCAGCTGTCTAAGGATGCTTTAGAAGTTGTCCAGAACACAGATGGTGATGGCACTGCTCTTTTCATTCCCTTAAATGTTCCCTGTTAAGACACTGGCAAACTGAGCACAACCAGAGAGAATGGATAGGTATGGTGCATCTGCAAATCATGACGTGGCTGAATCTATTTTAACAAAAGAGCCTGAAGAACTCAGGAATTTCCAGGATCATCCTGTGGAGGAAGGGTTGGACTTAATTTTATCTGAAAAGCAGAACTTGAAGATTGGAAATTACAGGGAAAATGATCCTTTCTTTTAACTGAATTGTCTGAAAATGGAACAGCTTCCTTCTGAGCTGGCCCTGCTTTGTGTGGTAGGCAGTTAGCTAGACCAGCGATGCTCAGTCCTATATGCAGGTTGAAGAGCTACCTGTAGCAGTTTACAACTATGAGTATAGGAGTAAAACAGGTGTTTTAGAGACTGTCGTAGTTCCTAGACATTACGCCATTCTTAGTTTATCTTACTGAAGTATTGTTTGTTAATGTATCAGATACTAAAAAAACAACAACTTGTTCCTTTACTGCAAGCACTAGGCTGGAGGGCTATGCATGCAGACTGTTAATGTCACACAGATGTGAACTTACCAGATGACAGTTTAGGTCCCTTCCAGTCTAACTTTCTGATTCACTTTCACCCACCCAAACTTTTGTCCTCCTGCAATCATGATTGGGTCTCCTGTCTTGAAAAAAACTCCCTCAGTTCTGCTCCCTTTCAAATCTCATGCCAGTCTTCTTCCTCCTCTCTTCTGCCTGACTTTACCGTTATTGTTTCCATGGTTTTCTGTTGTCTGTCTGACTTGCAATCCTTACTCTGTTCTCTGAATTTCTCAGTCTACACTTGACCTCTCTGCAGGGTTGGTACGGACAGCCTTCTGTCTTTACTGTTTTTCCCCAATTTCCCTGGTTTTCTGACTGCATCCTCAGGCTCTGGTGGTTTCTGAACTTTTTCTGTTTCCCTTAAAATAGGCATTCCCACAATTTCCTCTTGCCTTCTTTCTGTTCCATCTCAGCAGGCATGGCCTTCCATTCCCATGGCCTTGCTTAGTTCACTGTGATGTGGTCCCAGATCTGGTGCAGCTTCTGATTTCCAGAGCAGATTTAAAAATCTCTCACCTATTGACACCCGTAAACTAAGATGTCCCCATCCTGAATCCTTGGTCTGCAGAGATGACATGTGTAGATGTGAGTGAGGCCCAGAGTGACATTTACAAAGATTGTGTTGATAGCAGGAGGTCAGGATTGTTTGGAGTGATTCAGTGCTAGGGAGAGAGAACAGTTAGGGTGTTAGAGAAGTCCAGATAAAAGAATGAGTGAGGACTTTGAATTCAGGTGGTATTAATTGGGGTAGAGAGGAGGTAACAGGGATGAGAGATGGCAGAGAGAGAGTAAGTTTGAGTGGATGTGGAACAGGAAGAAGAGGGAAGGGTTTGCAGGTTTGGGATGACCCCCATGATCTGCCTTTGGTGGGTGGTTGTGGTGTTTGCTGAGATAGGACAGGAGGAGCAAGGGGACTGACTGTATGATGGAAAGGTGATGAGTTTGGGTGCATGCTGATGAGCTTGAGGTGCTTCAGAGTCATATCCTTTAGACAGTGTTTACCTAATATATCGTTCCTTTTTGACAGATAATCTATGCAGCAAATGTTTGGGTGCCACTTTTGGTGATGTTTTTCCACTGAGTTTCATCATATGTAGTTTTCAGAGAGATTCTGAGTTGTACCAACCAGGTCCTGGCCAAGAAGTGAGTCCAGCTACCATCTGTCAGAAAGCCTTGCTTACCTAAGGAGCTTAAAGCAGTTGCACTCCTTGTTTTCAGCTGGCCCCTGATGATGCCTGGCGCTGCCCACACTGCAAGCAGCTGCAGCAGGGGAGCATCACTTTGAGCCTCTGGACCCTGCCTGATGTGCTCATCATACACCTGAAGAGGTTTCGACAGGTAAGGACAGAGGCCATGACCCCTTTGTGGGCTTTGTGGGGGTTCTCTGGTGTCCCTGTTTGATGCCACGCACCTGTCTCGGTGTGTTACAGACACAGTCTGCCCCTTTTGGGGGGTCATCCTTTTGGGGGTCATCCTTTGTTCTTTCCAAGCAAAACTGGTGTGTTCTATGACCCTTTAAATCCTACACATTTTAGTTCATACTGTGGATATTTAACTTTTTCTTGAGCATTCACTTTAAATTTGTAAATAGTGTGCTTAAATTTTGGTGAGTGTACTTTGGCTTAAAAAAAAAGAGTAGCGCTTCTTTCTGGGGACAGGTAGAATTATTTCTCCCTAAAATAATAATGGGTGTCATTCTGTTCTTAAACAGTAGTTGTACAGTTGGGGAAATGAGTCAGAAGTATGTACAAAGAAAATCTGCTTTGAGTTATATTGCTATATGAGTCAGTTTTTTCAAAATGGCTATCAGTTCCCTAAGGTTAGGATGTTCCAGGACTCCCCATGGTAAGAAGGATAACTGGGAGGTAAATGGTAGGGGGGATCTCTGAGGCCTGGCTTTCAGAAGTTTTATATCAGAGATTGGGGTAGGCATTTAGTGGGAGCAGGTGTGCAAAACCCTGCTGCCCAAGGAAGAATGGCTTCTGCATGAGGCTGGCAGCAGCCAGTGTGGCTGGAGTGCCAGAGTATGGGGAGAACGGTGTAAGCTGAGGTGGGTAAAGTGGTCAGGGACTGGTCACTGTACAGACCCCGCAGGCAGAGTGGAAGTCTGATAATGGTTTAAGCTGAGAAGCAACATCAATAAACTTGTGTTTTTGAAGAGAACATTCTGGCTTCAGTATAAAGAATTAGAAGGCACAAGAATGAAGACAGGAGATCTGAAGGCAGCTATTGCAGTCATCCAGGGTGGGGGAAGGATGCTAATGGCTTGGACCAAGGTTGTGGCAGAGGAGATAGAAAGACCTGAATGCATTTAAGAGGTGCTTAGGACTTGCTGATGAAGCAGAGGTGTCAAGGGTCACACACACATGGTTCTAGGGCTGGGGCATTCACACAGAGGTTTGGGGTCCAGCTGCATGTCCCAACTTCAAACTCCATTTGGGATGTGCAGGTGGGTAGGTGATTGAGGACTGGGACCCCAGCCTTCTCTTCTCCTTCCACACATGCAGACGAATTTCCTTTGCTTTCTGTTTCTTTTGAAAGCATATCATTACCCTTCCAACACCCCAGACTAAAACTGCAAGGTTATCTTTGACTCTTCTTTCTTGTCCAGGCAGTCACCTCTTCTGCTCCGTTGTGCTTCTTCATTGCCTTCTGTATGTGTCCCCTTCTCCCCATTCTTGCTGTCACCCTGCCAGTCCAGACTTATGGTACTTTCCAGCTGGTTGCAATTGCTGTGTCTTTTAACTGATTTCTTAACCTAGATGACTTTTTCTGTCATCTTTTATGCACTACTTACACAGTTCTTCACCCACAACTCTGATGAAATCACTTTCTTAAAGCCTTAGTCTTCTTTGACTAAGAACTAAGTCCAGGTTCTTTAGCCTAACCCTCCTCACCATCTAGGACCCATCCTCCTTTTCTCTTATGAGAAAATTTCTTCTCTAATGGATCCATGTCTCCTTGGGGTAGCCATTATTTATTCCCCATTAATTTTTTTAAGCTCCCATAGACACAGGAAACATTCAGTAAATAATTCAACTGATGGTTTGATTTCACAGGATTTTCCTATGGACCTAGGGAAAATACAGTTTACCCAAGACTGTCAACTGAATGAATATATTAAGCTAAATCAGTGTTAACTTTTCATGTCATTGCTGGAGAGGGTGGATAAGAAAAGGGCACTGCTCACTGACTAGCTGTTCTATGCTAGGCACTGTGCTTTGTCTTCCTTGTATGTTACTACTCCATTACTTTGGTGCCTCTGTGACAGAGGTATCAGGAGGAACCCCCTGAAATTGTCAGTTTGCAAGTCAAAAAACCTTAAAATCCCTTATCAGGTAAAGAAATGGAGACTCTGGAAGGCTCATTACCTGTTATATATAGGTCATTGCTGGTTATACTTTTAGTGATCTTAAAACCTGTTCCTCTAGGTAGTTCAAACAGTTAGTTTTCCTTGTTTTGTATGTAACTTGGGAAACATCAGACAGGTTAACTAAAGCCTTTTCAGCTGCTAGAGCCTACTTTCCATGCTAAACCTATTCACCATCTGTTTGCATGAAAATATCACCAGCACTTGTTTTTCTTCTTGTGACAGGAAGGAGACAGGCGCATGAAACTTCAGAACATGGTCAAGTTCCCCTTGACTGGCCTGGACATGACGCCTCATGTGGTTAAGAGAAGCCAGAGCAGCTGGAGTTTGCCATCCCATTGGTCTCCATGGCGACGACCTTATGGACTCGGGAGGGACCCTGAGGACTACATCTATGACCTGTATGCTGTGTGCAATCATCATGGCACCATGCAAGGGGGGCACTACACAGGTCTGCAGTGCGAGAGACCGGTGTCTGTGTGGACGATTCCTTCAGGCATGTTTGCTTGTGACAGGGTCACTTTGCCTTAGAGCCTCACTGTCCTTTACAGTAGGCAGTGTGCCAACTATGAGGGCAGTTTTCATCCTTTGGATCTTTGTCAAGAGCAGACAAGTGGAACTTCTTCCTTCTTTTTCTGAGCTGGACCATCAGTGGCGGTCTGGCCGATTGGGAAGTGGTGTGTGCAGATAGCACCGTCTGCTTCCCCGAGGACTCACTGTGTTCACCTCACCTGCACTCCTTATTTAGGGTTTCAGTCTACTTCCTTGACCTTCTAGCTTCTTCCTGTTTTGGAGTGACCGTGAAGTACTTTTATAGTGTCTAACTTGGCTTGGAAGGATTTTTTCTTTGTTTTTGTATTAAGGTTACATTTATTTTTTTCATCTTAGAAACTAGAGAGAGGGAGAGCAGTATCATCATCCACAGGCTTAGCACCAAAAATAACCACTAGTTACAGTTTTAAGTTGTGGTAAAGTGCACATAACAAAATGTACCATTTAACCCTTCTTAGTAGATAGATGGTTCAGTGTCATTAAGTACAATCACGTCTTTATGCATTCGTCACCATCGTCCATGTCCAGAGCTCTTTTATCTTAGGAGGAGCTTAGATAGTTTCCGCATCCTTTCCCCTTTCCCATGCTGAGGCCATACTGTGCTTGTCTGGTAAATAAAATGATTAAAGTCTTACATTAGAGAACGCTTTTAATACCTTAACATTGTTGAATTACAGACACCTTGTGTGTAAGTTTTCATTTGGAATGTTTATTGTGATGTCTTTATTTTCCTATAATTACATGTTATGTGTATGGCTGACTTATGTAAGGATTCTAAAACAGTGCTTCTCAAATTTTCTGTGCTGAAGAACCTGTCTTTCTTTTTGAAAATTTCCAGTCCTTCATAAACCAATACTTTTGCAAAAATACAATTTAAATTATGGCAGTATCAGATTGCTGTAAAATTTTTCAAATGTTTTTCTTAATTGTAAACCACAATTTTAAATAGCACTGGTATAGACAACACCTCAGTACTGGTGCTAGAAAGAAAAGCAAATACAGTTATTTTGTAAGTACATCATTTACATATTAATGAGTTACCATGTTCCTTCTTTTCCAAACTTTATGCACTGTGACTGGGGACAGACCATCTGAAGGGAGACCTATGGAAGCTAGTGCAAGGTTTCTCTGGCACCTTCTCTTGGGTGTGTCCCCTTACAGTCCCACTTCCACTCCAGAATAGCAGCCACTGACCAAACTACTGCCATCTCACTGGCCCCATTTGCTGCTTATAGCTCATTTCTCTCTCCTCTGGTTCCAGCGAGTCTAAGCTGCACATGACTTCCTTCCCTACATTCACAGATTCTTACTCCACTCCTCTTTTCTGGACCTGTCTGGTGGAGCGTTTCCTTGCATTGGTCCCCTTCATCCTTTAGGGATCTATGTTTGCGAAAGTGGTTATGGCCTGTGGAGGAAGTCAATTCTGCTGCCTCCTCTTAGTACCTTGTGTGCCCTAGCCTGGGGGGCCATACTGAGTCATTTCTAGCAGTCATCTAACTATTCTAGAACTCCTTTCCTTTATTCCCATCCCAGTAAATGGATATTTTTGACAGTGTGATAAGAATGTACTTTTCTGGATCAAGCATATCACACCCCTTGATATATCCTTATAGGATGACATGGCTTCATGAATACTAAGTTGTCCATTCTCGCTGGTGCTTGAATGCTCTTTATTTTCTATCTTGGGCTTAGAATTAGAACTGGAGAGAAGACTGCATGCAATCATGAGCTCAAATGTTCTCCATTTGCCAGGAGACTTCCAGGGGGCATTGTTCATTGTTGGTAGCTCTGAGGGAAGCAGGTTTGGGTAGGGGACTAGATAATTCTGAGATGAGCTGGGCCCTGCCCTTCACCAATAGCATGATCTAAAATGGGTATCATCACAGAACAGATCTCATAGGATTAAGTGCCTAGTTTGGCACATAATAAGTGCTAAACAAATGTTAGCTGCTGCTGTTATTAATTTCATTATTTCTAGTTCTATTATATTCTATTGCTGATAAACAGTAACAGTTACAGTGTGCTTAAATCAGGGCCTCTCTACCCTGGCAGTATGGACAGCTTGGCAGGATGGTCCTTTGCTGTGAAAGCCTATCTTGGGCACTGCAGGGTATTTAACAGCATCACTGGCCTCTGCCTGTTAGATGCCAACAGCATCCTCACCCCCAGGTTGTGACAATCAAAATGTCTCCAGACTTTTCCAAATGTCCCCTGGATGTAGAATTGTCCCTGGTTGAGACCCAGTGGTTTAAATAAATAAATATATTGTGTTTCTTAGCATTAACAATAATTTTATCCATATGAAATTTCTTGAAGCATTTACCTGAGTGTAGTATAGGATTTGGATTTTTCACTGCTTTCTGTGCTACTACATGCAGCTTTAAAGAGGTCTTGAATTAATTACATGAGGCAAAGAAACGGTCACTGTGTGTAGAGTGGACCGGCTGGTGCAGCCATCCTCAATGCTGACGGTGACTCTTTTTGGCAGCCTACTGTAAGAACTCTGTGGATGGTCTCTGGTATTGCTTTGATGACAGTGATGTGCAGCAGCTGTCAGAAGATGAGGTTTGCACACAGACGGCTTACATCCTTTTCTACCAGAGACGGACAGCAATACCGTCATGGTCGGCTAACAGCTCAGTGGCAGGTAAGGCTGATCCATTTTTTCTCAGAACAGGTTGTCATTAATGGTCCAGAGAAGTTCTCCAGAAGGTCTCATGCATCTGTCAGTTTGATCAGATTAATCCATACATTTGCATTTAATCTGGAAACCCAAATGATTGCAGTTAAGGAAATGGGGATGGTGTGTGCAAGCAGCTGTGAACCAGGATAGTTTATAGGGAGGTGGCGTAGCACCCGTGTGGTTCTTTTGTGGGGTAAATGAGCTAAAAAGCGGCATGGCACTCTACTCTGAAAGTAGAGGAAACGGGTGTGGAAATAGAATAGAGACTTGGCTTTGGCACATTTTGGTTGGGTTACCTTGGGGCACGTTCCATCTAAGGCACATATTTATCATCTGTAATCCTGATGTAATAACACTGCCTGCCACCTGGGCTTGTTGTATGCATCAGATTAGGCAAATATGCTTTAAAGCCTTTTGTGAAATGTAAAGCACAATTAGAAATAGGTCCTCCCCCACCCCCTGTAAGATTGGCCTATTCTGTTAGGGGAAGAGTTGAAAACTATGATAATATTATGGGACTTGGGTTTGGCTTGATGGGGTCTAGTCTATTGTTTTGATAAATTCAGGAATCAATTCCCACACAATGTGGGTGCAGCCACACATAATCTAAACAAGGGGTGTGTATTTCTTAGTGCAGGGTTTGAGTTTAAAAGACTATGACTGGACTGGGGTGTGGGAATGTGGTCAGGTTGGGGAACATTGACCTCTGCTGCCCTTGAGGCTTGCGAGACCCAAGTTGGAGTCAGAACCCCTCCCAGTGCACCCATCTGTCTGCTGCTCACTTTGTTAACAGAAAGTAGGAACCCCAGTGCTCTAAGGCATGTCCTTAATGCTTCCCAGAGTCTGGGATGTGTTCAGAAATGACATCTCTTGAGGGCTACTTGAGATAGTCATGCTGCTCTTGTTCTCAATTGTTTAAGCATCCCTGAGACAAACGGAACACAGATTGACATTAAGACTTATGTTCGTGTGTTTGTATAGTAATATTGTGAAAATAATTTTAAAATTCAACAAACAGTCTAAAGAAATTACAGGGTACTGCTCTCTTTCCTGTGTTTCAGACATATTATGGCAAATATTTAGAACATTGCCTGGTGTGTAGTGCTTAATAAATACTTATAGAAGGAATGACTATGAGCGATTGTCTATATTGTGTTCTATTGTCAGCCCTAATACTGGATTTTGCATTCTAAAGTATCTGTCCCTATACTTGCATTTTATTACTACAGATGTGTGCTGGAGTCTGCTCTCCTTCCTTTTCGTCTTAGCAGGGGCTGTTTGAGCAGGCACGCTGGGATCTGGGAATTTGTGTTGACCTGGCAGTGGGGATACCAGCTGCCTCCATCTCAGGCAGCAGCACCTTTGTGAGGGTGTGCCCTGCAGGGCAGCCGAGGGTCCCAGCCTGACCTGGCCACCCCTTCACTTCTCTGCAGGCTCCACAAGTTCTTCCCTGTGTGAGCACTGGGTGAGCCGGCTCCCGGGGAGCAAGCCAGCCAGCGCGACCTCTGCAGCTTCCTCCAGGCGCACCTCCCTGGCCTCACTGTCTGAGTCTGTGGAGATGACTGGAGAAAGGAGTGAAGATGATGGTGAGTGTGGGTTTTGATGACAGACTTCCAAGATGACAACTCACAGACACAACACAGGGTCTGTCATGTTTAGGAGCCAAGTCCCAAGAAGGTTGTGGGGCAGGGCTGCAAGATGTTAAGATAATCCGTAAAATTTGATATAAACAGGGCATTTGCTTTTCCCCTCTGACCTAGGACATTTTTCTTCTCTTTTATCATTTTCAACTTGGAAGGAGTATAGGCTGGAGCCCTACTTAACTCTGTACAATAATGAATACATTTGTTTCAAAGTGTTTTTTAAAATCTTCAAAGTAGCAGTAAGGGGACTCAGTGCAGTTGTGATTTCCCCAAGGCCACCTGATGATGAGTCACCACGCAGGCCTGGCAGAGAGCTTCCTGACCTGCTCAGCTTCTCACCTTCCCGCCACGCTGTGTCCCTGGGAGGAACCTGTGGCATGTTCTTTTTTGGTTCAGAAATGTCTGAAACAAAAACTGTTGCCTCTCCACAGAGGTAGTTTTGGGGAATTCTGAAGATAGGCACAATATGAAAACTGGAAATCTTATAAAAATTGAACTCTTATTTTACCTTCCCCTGCTGCTTGAGTAGTGGCAATATGGCCCTTAGTTCCAACAGGGCTCCAGTTGGTGTGGGAGTGGTCAGGCTGCCAGTGCTCCAAGAGCTGGAAAAGAAGAGAATGAGCTCAGCTTCTGTAATGAGAACAGTGACTCACCTTCCAAAAAGCCTCATTCTGTAGCCAGCATTTCACTAGCTGTTATCTACTTCGAGTGGTGATGGATAATTCTGAGGATATAAAATGGAGAAAAAAGGCAGGAGGCTGAGAGAAGCATGACAGGCTAGGAGATCTGCCTTGCAGCATCAGCTCTGCTGATTCTGGCTTGTTCCTTCCCTCTTTGTAAAATAAGAGTGTTGGGCTATTATAACTAAGCTCCTTTCCAGCTCCTAACATATGACAGTTTGATCAGTGAATCTTTATTTGCTTAAGCAGAGATTATTTCCAACGCAGCCTCTAAACTTCGCATTCATTTTCATTTTAACAGTAAGCATAGATGTGGTTTGTCCTGATCTGTTTTTTAACCAGTGTGATTGGAAAATCGATACCCTCTTAGGGGTCATTATCTTCCAGTAGTACTGGTGGTGCCCAGAGGACGGGGCATGTCTCCTAGGATCTTCTCCAGACAAACTTTTACAGATTCTGCAGCTACAGTAGCAAATATGTACAGAATTTAATTTAGAATATTTTCTTTGGAAGTTTTAAGTCACTTAGCATTGACATTATATTGTTCTAATTATGACTATTTTTATAAGTTTTAAGTCACTCAGGGTAGGAGTATATTGTCTCTTTAGTCCTTCGCATGGATCTGTTTTCGTAGTCAACAGTTACAGGTCAACCTGCATGTGGCACTGGGTGTGGGACTAGCAGCTGTGGCTCTGGTATTAGCTCTGTCTCTTAATTAGTTGTGTCATTTTGGGCAAAGATTTCCTTCCTGTGAGCCACATATGTCCTTAGTAAGTTGAAGAAGCTTGACCAGTAGCTCACATTTATTGAGCATCTGTGGAGTGCCACAGGACTTTTTAAGATTTTATTTAAATCTCATTGTAGACCTGTGAGTTTCAACAGGGGTCAGCAAACTGCAGCCCACAGGACAAATATAGTCCCTGCCTTCATTTAAATTAAGATTTTGTTGGTACAGAACCATGTCTATTCGTTTATGTGTCACCAATGGCTGCTTTCATATGATAGTGACCCACAGAGCCTAAAATATTTACTATCTGGGCCTGTACAGGAAAAGTATGCTGACCCCTGGTACAGAGCAAGAAGGTAGAGAGAGTTTGCTGATCCCCAGGTTAGAATGTCCCTATTTCGTAGGTAAGAGAATTGGGCTCAGAAAAGTTGAAATCTTAAAGCTCTACTCCTTGACTGCAGATACACTGGTTCTGAGGGTCATATTTCTTTCATTCTACGAGACTTCCCTTCTTTCATCTTTAGATGGTACTGGGATGTTTTTTTTCTTTGTACCTTAATGATACTCTCTTTGCTGTATTCAGGAGGTTTCTCAACACGACCATTCGTGAGGAGTGTCCAGCGTCAGAGCTTGTCATCCAGGTCTTCTGTCACCAGCCCCTTGGCCGTCAATGAAAATTGCATTAGACCTTCTTGGTCCCTGTCGGCTAAGCTGCAGATGCGCTCCAACTCTCCTTCCCGGTTCTCAGGGGACTCTCCAATTCACAACTCTGCCTCCACCTTAGAGAAGATTGGGGAGGCAGTGGATGACAAGGTCTCCATCTCTTGCTTTGGTAGCTTGAGGAACCTTTCTAGCAGTTACCAGGAACCAAGCAATGGTCCCAGTCAGTGGGAGCACAAAGCTGTGGGCCGGGCCCCTCTTGCTATAATGGAAGGTGTGTTCAAAGATGAATCAGATGCCTGCAAATTGAACTCTGGTGTTGTAGATGCACAGAGCAAAAACTTAGCACAAGGGGCTCACTTGGCTCCCATCTCTGATCCATTTGATAACAATAACCAGATAGCTTATGTGGATCAGAGTGATTCCGTAGACAGCTCTCCTGTCAAAGAGGTGAAACCCCCAAGCTACCCAGGCTCCCTCACAAAGAAACCAGAGAGCACAACCAAGAGCTCCCCCAGCTCCAAAGGTGCTTCTGAGCCAGATAAAAGCTTGCAGAAGGGGAGATCAGCCTTGACAAGCCAGGAATCATCTCTGTCAAGTACTTCCCCATCTTCTCCTGTTCCTATAAAAGATCCTGTAAGGCCCTCATGCTCCCGAAGCAAAGCAGATTCTTCCAGGGCCAGTGGACGGCATTCCTCCCCAGCCCCTGCCCATCCCAGAAAGGAGTCTTCCCCCAGAGCTCAGGACTCGGCCTCTCATTCACCACAGAAGCTGAAGTCATCTTCTTCCCTCTCTTACAACACTTCCTCCATACCTGCCAAAAAGGCCTTGGGTCCTGCCACCAGGGGCCCCTTCCCACCTGGGAAGTGCAGGACTTCAGATAGAAGCTTAAGTAGGGAGGGCTCCAGACAAAGCCTGGTTTCTGACCGAGCCAGTGTTACCTGTAGCTCCAAACCCAGCTCTCCTCGGGTGAGCCAGGCCAGGGCAGGGGAGGGCCAGGGGGACGGGAAGCATGTCAGGAGCTCCTCTATGGCTAGCCTGCGCTCCCCCAGCACAACCACGAAGGCTGCTCTGAAGAGGGATAGCAAGTCGGATGAAAAGGGGCTCTCCTTCTTCAAGTCAGCCTTGAGACAGAAGGAAACCCGGCGATCCACTGACCTTGGCAAGACGACCTTGCTTTCTAAGAAGGCAGGTGGTAGCTCTGTCAAATCGGTCTGTAAGAATGCTGGGGATGACAAGGCAGAGAAAGGGCACCAGCCTCCAGGTTCCCAGCAGCCAAATGCCAGTTCAGTTGGAAAAGAGCAGCTTATCTCCAAGGACCTTGCTTCTGCTAGACATTCCCTGTTATCCAGTCGCAAATCGAAGTCTTCCCAGCTAGACTCTGGAGCAGCCTCGTCTCCTGGTGGCAGGCAGCCCACTGAGAAGCCCTCCCAGAAGTTCCCGTCGAGCATGCCAGCCTCTGCACGGCCTTCCCAGAAACCTCAGTGACATTGCTGCACTCTCTGTGTTTTCCCTGTAAAGATGTTTATTTATTTAGAACCCCTTTTCTCCCACCAAAGCCCTCTATGCTTTTGTTTTGTATTTTTTGGGTCAGGTGCCTGATGTGTGTGCTTGTGTGTGTGTGAGTATGTGTGTGTGCAGAATTCAATTGCAAATTGTTAAAAGTGTCGCCTTATTCTGCCATTGAACCAAATAACAGCCATAGGCAAAGTATCAATAGTGAGCTAACTGGAAATATAGATGATAACCTGGACTGTCCCTTTACCAGTTGTACATACTTCTTTCTAGAGAACTCTGATGACTTGTTGGACACTAGGGTTTTGAACCTGTGAACCAGTTAAACTATTGTTACTGTGCTCTGTCCAAGGATGAATTATTTGACTTGGGTTTCAAGTGAGCAGGATTTGTTTTTACTGTGGATTGTTATGTGACACCAGGAGTTCTAAAAACTGTGACACTAACAGTGAAACAAACCAAGAGAAAACTTGTTTTCTGCACTTTGGCCCCATTTACCAGTCTTTGTAAAGGGCAATATTTTAACACTAATGTTTCTCAGGTATATACTCAGCTAGACTAGGATGGATGTGTATCCATTAAAGAGGATTAAAAGCATTAAAGAGGAAGGTGGCCTGTCCATGACTGTCATTTCTCCCACTGCCACACATGGAAATTTTTAGAAGTAGAAGTGGTTTTTCACTACTTTCATATCTGCAAAGATGTGTGTACCTTAGGCAGTGTTGACTTGGAATATGTCCCAAGATGTCAAATTGGATATCTATAAAGCCAGTCACTAATAGTTACATTTTTTTTCATTCTAAATTTGTTAGTGAGTTGTTGGGATTTTGAAATGGAGTAGAGCAGTTAACACTTTTGAAAGATTCCTGGGGGTGGGAGGAGTGGATTCTTAACTGGGTGAAGCTGTACCATCTTCCTCCTCTATTGTTGTTTTTCTGTTAGAAATTGGAAGCTCCATGCCCACCCTGTGCTCATGTCCACATTTCCACAAAGTCTTACTAAGTCATAGAGAGGAAAGAAGTTGCAGAAGGCCCAAAGTCAGTGATGGTTGAAGTGATGTGTAACAAAGTATTACATGTACACTCCTGATCCTGCCTGTCGAACCCAGTATGACTGTTTTTCAGTAATTCATTTATTTCTTCTCTGTTTAATATTTAATCTCTTATCCTGAACTCGACAGGATTGGAGCATGTTCTGTGTGGTACTGTCCATGCAAATTGCATTTCTTGGTTAGAAAAAAAGAACCTCACAGAAATCTCACAGATAAGTGAGACACATGGTTTTCCAAGCTTTCTGGAGGCACCTTGGCAATTTTAGGTGTTTTTTCCTCTTTTTTCTAAATGTCAAGAGAGTCATGGTTTTGATTTTGTTTGTATAGCAGTTGTCATTTTACCATGAAGTACAGCAGGCTTTGTTTATATGCTCTTAAATACTAACTTAAAAAAAATAGACTCTTTAAGTTCTTCCTCAACTTCTGGTACACAGACGCATTTATAAACTCTTTTCAGCACTGCTGTGCATGAGGTAACTAGACACATACACATGCACTGCTATAAATTCTGCACTGCCTTTTTTCCCCCATGAACACCTTTTGGGAAATGTTTTGAGTAGGTCACTTAAGTTTATTTTGCTGCTAATTTGAGCATTAGGTAACTTGCAAGTTCGGAGGCTATTTATGTTGAGGGTAGCTGGAATTTTATACTCCTGTGATAGTTAAGACTCACCTTTTAAGCTTTGCTCCATGAAATTGACTGAACACAGGTCTGTCCCTTGTACTCAGTCCCGTCACTGTCTTACTGTCCAGGTGTCTGTGGCTCTCCAAAGTGGCACTGTTGTCATTTGTGGTAGTGTGGCCTCCAGTATCCAGCTGCCTGTGGTATTACTGTTGCTTCCTGTGGCACATTGGCAGCCAGTCAGTGTGTAGCCACTGCTGGTTTCCCTGTATCACTTTTTTTTTAATTAGAAAAAAATTGTTTTAATCCTCACCTAAGGATATATTTATTGATCTGAGAAAGAGAGAAAGAGACAGAGACATCAGTCAGCTGCCTCCCATGTTTCCTGACCAGGGCTCAAACCTGCAACCTTTCAGTGTACAGGACGATGCTTCAACCAGCTGAGCACACAGCCAGGGATGTATCACTTTTATTTCCTGGAAAAGATGCACCAAATATGGGGTCATCAGTATTAGGAATTCAATATTTGTCTAATTTGAACCTATCGTCTTTCTTTCACAGGCAAATCACATTTGAAATCTATCTGCAGCTCTGCAAAGTCTTAGAATTATAATTTGGCTACATAAATGGTTTTATTAACTGTTGGGAGGCTGTAATCAGTTAAGCATTAATAGAAAGTAGTTTAATTTTAACAGTGGTAAATATTTTTATTCTTGAGTGTTTCAAGAATGGATTTTCCATGTGGTTTAGAGTCCTAAAACAACTACAAAGTCCTTTGATTTTTTTGAGATCTAGAAATAAAATATTAGTATCTATAAATCGTATGTCTATGGAGTTGAGTCCTTGTTTCATATTTCAATGGAAAAAATCAGGAAGTACTGGGTCATTGTCTAGGCATGTTTATGATATTACATTTCTGTGCTTAGGTGTGAAAATATTTATCCCTAACTACCAGGTACAACCTTTAAGCCACTGAGGATATTTGCCTAGAAGTTTGGAGGTGCTGTTTGAGGTATAAAATACAGGAAATTGTTACTTGGTTCAGTTCATTTCTTTGATAGGTTAGGGACTTGATGTTTGTTTTGTTTTATTTTCTCGACAATGTTTGGTGCAATGGGTAAACATGTGTTTGCGGTTAAAAATCACCTGCTGAGGATGGTGGGCCTGGGTGTCTGATTGACAGCCAGGTGGGCTGATTGAGCATTCATTGTTGAGTCAGCATAGAATAATCACCAACCATGGAGCTGCATCTGTAAAGTTTGCCTGTTTTTTTAAAAAAAGTCTTATTCTTGATTTCTTCTCTGGTAAACATCCAGTGAACTGAGGCTATATCATTCCTTAAAACAGCCCTGTGCCTTGCCTTTGTAATCCTCTATCTAATGTGGAAGCACAGGGGAACTGTTAAGTTCACTTTATGTCAAGACCATCTCCCACCCCTTTTGTATTTTCTCTCCCTAAAAGCAGCCTAACTGGACCAGTAGTATGGTTGGGGTAAAGTATTGCAACTATCTGTGTAATCATTCTTTCATTATTCATTTGTTCATTCTGCGAACATTCATGGAGGGCCTGCTGTGCTTGTGCAGGCTAGTTGCAAGCTTCAGAATTGCCTTGGCTGAGGACCCCTGGGAGCACAGCTGGTGGACGGGGGTGCCGGTGATGTCCTGAATGGAGTCCTCTTGAACAAAAGAGCAAGCAGATTCTGGTGAATTAGCCAAGGCTGCTGGTCCTCCTGAACAAGTATGTTCTAGAAACCAAAAGTGCCCTTCTTCATCTCTGGAGACATTTTCCTCCACATCCACTTTCAGACTGAGCTATTTCTATTACTTAGGGGTAGAAAATCCTTGATGAAGTCAGTTCTCATTAGAATTTTCTCATCCATGTTGGTATGAGATTGATGTGGGGGTTTTTTGTGTTTTTTTTTTTTTTGAAGGGGTGGGGTTGAAAGAAAAATTGCCATCCCTCTAAAATAACTATTATAAAAATCATAGAAACAACATGTAAAGGAAAATAGTGTTAGCCTTCAGGAAAATGGAGCAGAGAAGAGCTGTGAACAAAGCTTATTTATTTCAAATAAACATGTTTTTAAAATATATTGACATCTGATGTCAATTCCATTGTGACAATTACTGAACAGCTGAAGATACTGTTTTCTATGGAGATTGTTATAATTATTGTATGCAAAGATAATTAGTGTTTCTGGTTGAAATTTTGAGATAGCTAGCAAATCATTAGTATAATTTCAATAAAACACATATTTTGTGAGGTAATTGAACTTTATTTGCTAACTAACCAGTGCCGATGTTCTAACATAAACACAAAAGTTAGCTGTGCTTGTGCAGGCTGTCTTTAAAGGGTGCATTATTGGTAAACCTGATGACTATTTTGGGGGAAATCCTAGTGGGTAGTTAATTTGGTCAGCTCCCAGAGTGTGTGTTTTACAGCTGCCTTTGAGCGTGACCAGTCATTTCTTCCCCAAGTAATGAGGGCAATTGCATGGCCTCCATCTAACCCAGAAAGCATGCTCTTCCTATGCAAAGCAGCTAATAAACAATATCCACTACACTAAATAATATGTTTTTAAAGGCAACTTAGATTATGGAACTCCAATTTTGAATTTGTAATTTATTAAATGTGGTTTAATAATTAGTATAGAGGAGCAGGAATGTGGTTTCTTGTTTTGCTTTGCGCATGTTTCTCTTGGCCAATTTTTTTTAATTGGTGAGGCTGTAAAATAAGTAACTTACAGGAATGGAGCTGAGTATGTTGAACATGCTGGTTTATATACTATATAGAAATGTTCTAAAAGTAACTTGCCATTTTTCATAGATTTAAATTTTTTTATATCTTCTAAGGTCCTATCACATAGTCACAAGGAGAGAACATGGCTTCTAATAGTATTAACACTTTTTAAATGCTTTTGTAGAGACATGGAGCTATTTTGGAAAGTTTTGAGTTCCCCAGCCACTAGTCACATGAAGACTAAACTTGTGGGATTTATGGTGGCATCGTAGGATGAATTAGTTTCTAGATCTATCTCACATTCATTTTAATCCAGTGTTGCCCATTTTGGGGAGAAATGAGATCTGTAATGGACTTGGGAGGCTTTTTCATATCTCAACAAGACTGTCCCCAAGATTCTGTGAAGCTTCTTCTGAATGACTTGTCTGAGATTGTTACCCAACATTTAAGAGTCTTGTCTAGGAAACTTTTAAAAATACCTAGGTCCCTCCCACTCGCAGGCTTTTCATGTAATGAGCATAGGGCTAGGTCCCAGGAAAGACCACATGTGTTAAAGCTTCTCGTGATTCTGGTGTGCTGTCAGAATTGAGCACTGCTGAGAAATAGGGCAAGAATCTCTTGGGAGTGACAGATTCCTCTGTGTGTGATGGAGAAGAAAGAAAAAAAAACATTGAAAACTGATATCAACCTCCTTTTTGAATTCTGGGGGATTTTCTGATTGGAGGCCCAATTTGGGAGTTTGGAGCATTTGGTAAGTGTCCCAGCACTTGCCAGTCTGGTGGGAATTGGTGCTCTAGTCTGTGGTGGGGGGGGGCAGGTAGAGTATTCCTGGAGTCGCAGCAGGGCCAGGCTTGGGGGTGGAGTGGGGATAGGGAAGTCACTCTGAGCTAGAAAATGTTGAAGTGAGCCTTCTGTGGCCTAGGAAAACCTGTTGCTGCTTTTTATATAATGATTTTTTTGTAGTAATTATAGTAATAAACCCTAGACTGCCTCTGAATTTCCTTTTTAGCTCATTTTCTACTTGGAATGTAGTTTCAGGAAGTATATTGAAATTTTATCTGGAATCATTTTTTTTGTAACTCTTGCTGGTATTTTCATGTAATTAAAAATAATAATATTCATTCAAAAATTCGGCCATATGCGTTACTGGTAGAGGCCAGTGAAATTTTTAGTGTTAATTGGTGAGCTGAATGCACTACATCTTCAAAACAATCTGTTGTGCTTCTCAGGTTCATTGCACTGAGCATTATGTTGCCTACAGAAAAAAGAGACAACTTACCTGCTGTTTTAACATTTCAAGGCATAAAGATAACAAGGAAACATCCAAGTTGCAGTGCTCCTTTAGAAAGGCCTCCAGGGCAAAGAGAGTGGCAGTGGAGAAAATATAACATAAAATTATGTTTCATAGTAGGTGCTACTCAACTGGTGTGAGGTCATGATGCCCAAGGGGAAGGTGGTTACATGTTTCCACCTGCTGAGGCTCTTCTTGGGCCTTCTGATCTACAGTCTACATCGATGTTCGCTCTGTGCCTCTCACCACTGGTTGAAACTGAACTCAGGCCCTTCACAGAAATGGTTTTTTGGTGGAATGCTTTAGTCTTTACACTGGGATTTCTAGAGCTGTCTTAAAAGCTGCATGCCATAGCACTACATGAAATGCCTTTGATGTCATCCATGCACCATTCATAGAGATCTGTAATTTTCTTTAGTTGCACAGTATGTGGAAGGCAGGTGTCTTCCCTCAAGGCCGGGAGAAGAGTGTATCATACATTTTAAGTTATTTTAGAAAAAGTGCATGAGATATGTCACTGACTTTTGTTATTTATTTGTATGTCTTATTCAAAGTGTATGCACTTTCAAGTTGCAGAGTTTATATTTTTATGTTTAAAATGTTTTACTTCTGGAATAGCAGTTGATTATATACCATACGATTGGAAGTAAGAGAAAAGTGGAACATGTAACAAAATACAATAAATTTATTACATGATGCCCTTTAATCCAGACTCTTTTCCCTCTTGCCAAACTATATTTACAGTGTTAATTAACAATGGAAAAATTAAGCAGATCTTGGTACTACACTGATGTATATGACATGTCTTAAAATTGTACTGTTAAATGAAAACAAGTTACAAAAGGATGCATATATTCTCTGTAAATTTTTAAAACAAAAAGTCACATCTATGTTTATTTTATTTTCACAATCAAGGATTAATCTCTCCATATTCTCCACGAGGCAGTTCGTCCCAAAGGTGGATAACAACTCACACTCTAATTCAATCCCAATGGATGTCGAATAGTTTATATTATTTCCTTCTTCTACCACTCCTACATGATTGGAGGAGATAGCAGTCTAAAAAGTACCATCCTTTTCTGGGTCCTCTTTTGCCCTTCATAGCTTTCTTTTTAAACCATCCTGTTCTGTTGAAATTTCCTGCTCTGGTGACCCTGCAGGACTTTCTGTTGAGGGTGTCATGCCTTAACATGACCACATGGGGACACTGAAGGTAGATACTATCAGAAAAGGTGACTTGTCCAGTCCTGCTGTTTGAAATGCTTATTCGGTATGTGTTGAGGCATGTTTTATCAGTGAATAGAGTTTCATTTTAAATGAGTGCTACAGCCATACTTTTCCCTAGAATTGGAGAGCAGGTCACAACAGCATTGTGGCTTAGGGCTGAGCCAGGGAGACCTGCAAACCAAGGATGAGTGTAGAATATGTGTGTGCCATAAAACCAACATACAGCATTTATAAACCTCTCAGATTTTAAATGGGAGAATTGTGCTATAGGTACATTAAAGTGTAATCACATAGCACACAAGGGGCTTCATTATGCACAAAGGTTTGCATGTTAAAATACACGAATATAATAGCTAAGCCGATATTTGGGGAACGTTTTGTTAGAATTTGACGGGTTATTTTCAAATATCTGAAATTAACTCCCTCTCTGAACACTTTACCTTCTCAGTTTTCCTAGAGAAAGCAAAGGCGTGAGAAAGTGCCTTGCCCTGAGTGATTATGGGCCACTGTAATGTCCATCCCCACCCCATCTTTCCCAGGCTGACACATTAGTTCTCTGAGGTGGATGTTTGATTTTCCTTTTTGCAGCCCTGTGTGGTGTCTCAGGCATCTCCATGTGGGTCATTGTACATTTTCCATCTCTGGGTGCTTTGGATCTGCCTTATACAGAACCTTCTAGAATTCAGTTTTGATTTGGTCTGATCTTAACCATGTTTCTTACCCCATGATGTTTTCTACATAGGGCAAGGGCTGTTCTCTCCCAGAGAGAGTGTTACATTATGTCATGGAACCCAGTGGCCTGGGACCCATTCTTTAAGAGCACTCAGGATATGACACCAATTAGGCTAACAACTCAGTTTTTCCTAAAGAAAGTAGGGAGGTAGTGTGAATGAAACCAGTGTTGTAGTCAGAATCAGGTGCTCTACCCCACAGCTGGCTCTCCTTTGCCTTTCCTTTGTGTGGAAAGAGCTTGTAGAGGCCCAGGGTATACACATCCAGTTTCCGGGACTCAGGGACAGCTCCCAGGTTCCTCATTCTCTGGAGGGGAAGGGGAGACGTGGGTGGGGGGCAGCATGGAGAAGGGTGGGTGGTAGTGGGGCAGGTGCCCTTTTATTGTCCCATTCAAAATTGAAGTCCAAGCTCCTTCATTTAGCAGTTCTCCTCGTGTGCCCAAGTGCTGGAGATAGGAACACACCCTGAGGAGCTTGCTGCCGGTCAGGGGTCCAGTTAGTTGATAGAAAACATTTCAGAGTCACTGCCCTCTACTTACTCATTGCCCTCAAGGTGTTGGCATTTCCACCATTTCCATTTGCAACCCATTTCCTGGTGTCACCCAGAAGGCTTGTGTCTGAGATGCGCGTGTGGCTCGTTCCCTTCTCTCCATCTTTACTCAAATGCCAGTGTCGCTTGGGCCTTCCCTGGCTACACTGTGAAAATATTGTAGCCCATTTTTCCTCCTCATTTTTTCTTCATGTCACTGCTCACTAGCTACCACAGTATCTATACAATATATATGCAACATACAGTATGTTTACATGTATATAATACAGTCATCCCTTGGTATCTACAGGGCATTGAGGCCAGCACCCTTCACAGATACCGAAATTGCAAACTCTCAAGTCCCTTGCATAAAGTGATACAGTATGTGTAAAAAAACTGGCACACATCCTCTGGTATATTAAGTCATCTCTGGGTATCTTATACCTAGGTGTAAATGCTGTGTAAATACTTGTTACACTGTATTATTCTAGGGAATAGTGACAAGAAAAAAGTCTACATGTTTAGTACAAATGCAACCATCATCATCTTCATTGCCTAATTGTATACAGGTCAACAACAACATAACTTAAAAAAGTTTTGGGGGGACTTCTGCCAAGATGGAGGCGTAGGTGGAAACAACTTGTGTCTGCGCACAACCAATTCTAAAAACAACAAAGTTTTAACAATAAACACAACTAAACCACACAGAAAATTGACAATACGAAGTCTGAAAACAACAAAATGCTCAGCTAAACCGGTAAGAGGGGCAAAACCAGCAACGGAGCGGGTTGGACAAAAAGATCACCGACTGGGGTAGTGCGCAAGCAGCTGAAGGCGCGGATCCCAGGTGCGGGCTAGCTACTGGCAGACACAGGGAAGAGGCGCGGCTGGCTGTCTGCGGTCGGTCGAGCATTTGCGTGCAGATAAACCAGTGAAGAGGCGAGCATTGAGACCGCAGGACGCAGGGCTGGGGGCTCACACTTTCCACTCAGATAAACAGGCGGGGGAGAGTGGTGGGACAGACTGGGCCAGTGGAGAGGACCACCATTGCTCCCTCTCTGCCCCTGCCCCCACATACAGCATCACAAACCAGAGACCTGAGTGGCTGCGCCCTGGTAAACAACTAAGGATCCGCTCCTCATACGTAACAGGACAAACAGATAAAAACATGGCTCAAGAACAACTCAGAGCCCCAGAGCTAATAAATCTAAGTGACGAAGAAATAGCCAAACTTTCAGATGCACAGTTCAAAACACTGGTGATCAGGATGCTCACAGAACTGGTTGATTTTAGTCACAAATTAGAGGAACATATGAAGGCTAAACTAATTGAAATGAATGGTAATGCACAGGAAACCAATAGTAATGGACAGGAGACTGGGACTCAAATCAAGGGAGTGAACCAGAAGGAAGGAAAAAATGACCAAACAGAAAAGAATGAAGAAACAAGAATTCAAAAAAATGAGGAGAGGCTTAGGAACCTCCAGGACATCTTTAAACATTCCAACATTCTAATTATAGGGGTACCAGAAGGGGAAGAGGAACAGTCACGAGTGGAAACCTTATTTGAACAAATAATAAAAGAGAACTTCCCCATTCTGGCAAAGGCAATAGACTTCCAGGAAATCCAGGAAGCTCAGAGAGTACCAAAGAAGTTGGACCCAAGGAGGAACACACCAAGGCACATCATCATTACATTAGCCAAGATTAAAATGAAGGAGAGAATCCTAGAAGCAGCAAGAGATAAGGGGACAGTCACCTACAGAGGAGTTCCTATCAGACTGTCAGCTGCTTTCTCAAAAGAGACCTTACAGGCAAGAAGGGGCTGGAAAGAGGTATTCCAAGTCATGAAATCCAAAGACCTACATCCAAGATTGCTCTATCCAGCAAAGTTTCCATTTAGAATGGAAGGACAGATAAAGTGCTTCTCAGATAAGATCAAATTCAAGGAGTTCATCATCACCAAGCCCTTATTATATGAAATGTTAAAGGGACTTACCTAAGAAAAAGAAGATAAAAAAGA